ACAGTACTTATTACGTCGTCATTCCATAGGTCATCAATGATCGGCGCAGTAAGGTTGATTTCAGACGTTGACAACGTCTTTCTTCTTGTTTTTGAGTCTTTTGCATACCTATTTCTATATTGTAGTTATTAGTTTTCTGTAGCTATTTGGATACCTAGTTTTATGTCAATGGTGCTGACCTCCTATGCCTGATTGAGTATTAGATTTTATATTGTGTTGCTTACCCTTTACGCCTTTTTGGTTGCCTTTTTAGATACTGAAATTATGTAAAAAAGAGGCGACAGTGATGCAGTAAATTTGCGATTAATTTCAGCTGATATTATGATATAATTCTGGCCGATCTTTTGAGCATGTGATTTGAGAATCCAATTTGGTAACACGATGGTACCATAATAGTATCATGGAACCGTTATAGAACTGTTGAGGAACTGATAGGAAACTTGCTGGATATCTGAGAAGTTCATTTATTTGCCAGTTTCAGTCCATTTATATGTCAGCTTGGATGCTGAATTATTATTCCCAAAGTTCCAGCTGAAATTGTTAGCTGACATTAAGCGAATAAGTCTTACGTGAAAACTATACTGTAGCTGAATACATATCTAGAAAGATAGAGCCTTCTTCCAATTTTTTATATATAGATTATGAAGAAGGCCCTACTTCTCTTCCCTTTACGATTTACTCATTAAGTTCAGATGAAGGCTTTTGTCATTTTTATATAATATAATTCTGCAGAAGTCTTCATTTTATGAATATATATCATAGTGATATAAGTCTTCTGCCATTTTTATATAATAGTATTCTGCAGAAGACTTATCTTCTAAATACATATCTTCTTGTCTTTCTTTTACGATTTGTTGACTAAGTTCGCTATCATATTATTGCCTCTTTTTGGTATACCTCTATATTTCACAAAGGCTAATACATATACCCGGATACATACTAGTGATAGGATAGCTTTCTTCCAATATTTATATAATGATTACGAAGAAGGCTACCCTAAATATCACCTACTAAAAATCAATTTATCTGCAATTCTCTTGCTAATTTGTTTATTAAGTTTGTATATCCATATTCATATTCATACCCATACCCATACCTAGATATATACTATAAAAGTGTAGCCTTCTGCTATTTTATATAATATAATTTTGCAGAAGGCTACACTTTTAGATATATATATATAGTTGCCTTTCTTTTATATTTTGTCAACTAAGTTTGCTATAGCTTCTGCAGAAAATAGTCTATCAATTTTCTTTAAAATCAGGGTAAGCTTTTTTCCTGCAGAATTTTGATTAAGAGTCGAATATATGAGAAAAAATGTGTGTATGCTCATTTCCTGTAGATGCATAGCATTAAAGGAGAGTATTCATTGAAAAAATTAAATTAAACATTTCAGAAATATATTGGAGTATATAAAGTTTTACCTACTGACGCTATGTATACCTCAACTATTTTTGATCAAACTGATTACACTGGATCTGGCCTAACGCTCGTCGACTACGACGGCGTTGAATCCAATGAATACTTAAGTGACTCTAGCAGTTGTAATAATAATGATTCTGATTGCAGATCAGATAATTTTAATAACTATGAGTCTAATTATGAGTCAGATAACAAAGAAGCTTCCTGCACTTTAACCAGCATTACTGAAGCTGTAAAAGAACGAAAGGGTAATGTGATATATACTTTGAGGCAAGAAAACTTTAATGATAAATTTTTCCTAAGGATTTACTAAATGCCATTTGGGAAATTCTTTTATCATCACCTAGAGATATGTCAGACGATAAAGGGTCGTTGGATTGTCTCCCAATCTATTCATTCCTCTTTCCGAATAAAAAGGGCTCTAACTTATATAATGCTTATGACCGAAGTGAGGTGAAAGATAAATTAGTTATAAAAATCGACCAAGATGGTAATCATGCCCCAAATTTTCTGTTGCAGATAATATTTCTGAAGTACAGTGAACTCTTGATATAACGAATTCTAGGATCTGGATATCAACTTCGTTATAAGCTTATAACGAATTTTTTAAAGAATTTAATTGGCTAGTTCACTATAGTAAAGGTAATTTTAATATATTTGATTTAAAAATTCGCTATATCAAGAGTTCGCTATATCAAGGTTTGACTGTATATAGTTTACCTGGAATTCATGAATGCATTAATGATCAAAAACCTTTAAGAGCCGTGATCAATATAGATGCTTTAGAGAAAGATATAGAAATAACTGGTATTAAGACGCAAGAAGTATTTATCTGAATCTGCCTATCTTTTATAAGAGTGTTGTATTGAATTCTTGACTGTAGTTGGAAAAACATTCTCAATGGATTAGTTATTGCTACATCTTCAGATTCTAGTAAGTGTGACTACCATATTTTATATGCATCAATTCTACTTATTGATCATCATAAACTCAAAGCATTTACTGAATTAGTATATATCATAACCGGTGAAAAATTCAGCAAATATATTGATAGAGAATTACCTGATCAAAATTTTAACCTTCGCCTAATTAGTTCAGCAAAAAAAGGTTGTGTGAAACGCATCCTATTATATTTGATAAATAATGAATGGAATGAACTTGATCATACTAGAGTCGAACCACCTGTTAGTTTGTATTTTGAAGTAAGACCTAGAATGCTTAGCATAGAAAAAAAAATAATCCGCTAAGAATATCTGTGGGTCAGAATATATTAAAATATGCAGACCTAGTTTTACAAAAGTACTCTAATTATTTTAGAGATTGGACTATCGAAGAAAAGGAAGAGATGAAGAAAAACTTTATATATTTTAACCGGAAAGCTCTACTAGAATGTCCACTATGTAAATGTATATATGACAAGAATCAGAGGTAGTTTGGCCGTGTATACGCTAGCAGTAGAAGATATATCATAAAATGCTTTCGGTAAAATAATGATGAACCAGGAGATGTTTTTGAATGTGACCCATATATTGCAGAAAAAATTCAGCAAAAAAATAATAATTCTTCACAATGTTTCCAAAGGGACCCAAGGTTCTGAGCTTTCCTAAAGCCTTCGTAAATTTCCCATCTTGGGTCAAGTATAATGACTTCCTTACAGCAACAGAAATATATGAGAAGAGATATATAAAACAATTGCCTAATAGAGGTGATATCTATGTGGGATCACCTTGGAAAATGGGGAAAACCTATATTCTTGAAAATTTAGCTATTTCTGATAACATAAATTTATTAGTACTGTCTACGCGTCACTCTTATTCTAATGCTGTTATTACAAGGCTTAATCTTAAGTCATATTGCAATATTGATGGTAATATAAATCTATCTGATCACAAGAGGATAGTATGTCAAATAGAGAGTTTACATCAGATTGTTAATAAATGTAAATGTAATAAAAAATGCAAATGTCTCCCGAGTTAATACGATTTATGGCTTGATGAAATAGTATCTATAATTGCTCAAGTACAAAGTTACTTGGCGAAGCAATCAATAGAAAAATTATATAAATTAATCCAAGATGCTAGGCGTATTATTGTTATGGATAATGATCTAATGGATCTCAACATTGAATGGATTAAGATTCTTCGCAAGAATATACAGTATCTTTCTCCATTATTCATAATACTTACCAGCCTCAGAAAGGTAAAATATTCTGCCTAACTCCTAATAAAGAATCTATATTTGTTGAACTCTGGGATTGGGCTAAACAGACTTCCTTGTTACCTTTTGAGAATCGTAAAAGTGTATTACTTATTTGTCATCTTAGAAAAGATCTATAAGGAATTGTTCATACTCTCAAGACTGAATTTCCAGAACTAAGGATCAAGGAATATCACAGTAAATCTGATCCAATGGAAAAAGCTCAAGATTTTAGCAATGTAAAAGAATCATGGAAAGATATTAACCTAGTTGCTTATACTAGTACTTTAAAAATAGGAATATCTTGCATTAATCCTAAATTTGAACGAGCATTTTGTATCTTTAATAGTTATATAGAAACGAATGTTGAGACGAATCAGATGTTATTCTGTATGCGATGCATTAAGGATTATATATGCTATATCGAATAAAGATCATCTAATGTTTCCATTACAGAAAAAGGACTATTTCAATGGTTACTGAATGCCAAACGAGAATGCCTCACTTGTGAACTTCAGAATAGAGGGATTTTTCCAAATGTAGATTCTATTATCTGGAATAAAGATGTGCTAACTATTCGATTGTGGGTAGCATATATGTTAGAAAATTTTTGTTCCTAACATTTATTTGGTTGGAGAATAATTGATTTTCTCTGAAAGGCAGGTATCGTAGTTTTTGTTATGGAATTCATTCCTAAACCTGAAGATACTATGATATTGCTATTTCAAACAGTGAAGGTGAGTTCTTCTATTGTTAAAGCAAAAGCGATATCAGATATATCTAATGCTTTTATTATCAATCATGAGACTGCTGAATTATTGGAAAATAAACCAATGAAGATTTTAGAAGAGATGTGTTCTTTAGACCGGTATCATATTGTGGATTACTATGGGGTTCCACCTGAATTACTAACCAAAGACTTTATCTCAAAATATGGGAATTACAATCACATGAAATGGTTTAGAGCTTATAAGCAACTACGAGATGCTGGTACTAATAATAAAATAGCTGTTGAGGCTATTTTCCATAAATATTACAGAGAAAATAGACTTACAACAGCATTCTGAGCCGAGAGGCATAGAATTTGCCTAGAATTATTAAGGTTTTGCATAGAGCTCCAAATCAGGTCAGGTCAACCTATGACCTGATCTGAAAAATCCAGGTCGGGTAGATAAATTTTCAGATCAACATCAGGTCAGGTTAAGCTTATGACCCGACCTGATAAAATTTGGGTCAACCAATCAAATTAAACGAAATAAAATATTTAAAAAAAAATTTT